CGCGCAGTGCGCATCTTGCCCTCGCTATGCAGCGGCCGCTTCGGTCGACTGCGGGGGTGGGCGGGGTTCGCGAGCAGCGCGTTGGAAGGATGTCGGCAATGAATTTGGCATTGCAGACTGCGCTACTTTTGGCCCGGTCGCATCAGATGAACTGCTCGTAATCGGGCCCCGTCAAGGCGGCTGCGTGGGCGACCCATTCATCGTTCCTGCCATCGTTGGCGCCTGTAACTGTCCTGTTCTGTCCTTGTGCACAGGGTGTTGCGGTCATGGGTTATGAGATCTAAAATGTTTGTCGGGTGGTGGTGGTGGTGTGTGTGTGTGTGTGCGGGGGAAGGTGGGCGCATCGCTCCAGAAATCTGCCGACGACTTGCACTAGGTCGTCATCGCTGATCCAGGGGGCTCGCTCGCCTCATTCCCGAAGAAGCTAGTGCGTGTGGACAGAGACCTGGGCGGGTCCATTCCCAGCATGGCTGCGCTCAGAATGCCTGCAATCAAGAGTTTCCCTTGCACTTTGCCCGCGCATAGGTCGAGCCAGGATTCGAGCGGGTGGTCTCGTGTTGAAGAGGGCGGTGCGGGATGGGGGCTGGGTGTTTGAGTCCATCTATTGCCGTGCGGACTTCGGCCAGACATGAAGTTGCCCGCAGGTAGCCCAGCGGGATTTTGAAGCTTGCGGGTCTGGCGAGGAGGTGGGGGAGATGTCGATTCATGAGCTTTGTTTTATAATCCGTTATGATTTGGACAAGGCAGCTTTGCCTGATGTAGAAACGATTGCGACGTCCTTGACTCGCGTTTGAGCCGACTGGAAAGAGCAGCTATTGGCGGGCGGGCGACACATTGCGAGGGGGAACATATCGCGAGCTTCACCAATGAGGACATCGCGCGGTTTCTGGAAACCTGATCTTCCAGCCAGGAGATGATGATTAGGCGCTTGGAACTCCAGTCCTGGGGTCGACGTCCTGAGCGTCGCGCCCAAGTGCTTGGCGCTAGTTACGGGGCGTTCTAGTTTGGTGGCAGGCCGCAGATTTTAGCCGGACGTCTATCGCAGTTTGTTTCTCCATGGTTGTAACAGATGACGTTGGACTTGGACCATGCCGCCGAGTTATTGCCAGACTGCGCGATTGGGCCGATTGCTTCTCATTTGTCTTTTACCGCGCATAAAAGGGGGCGATGGAGGATTTCTGCCTGGTTGATATCGCGGGGCTCAGCCGGGAGCTCGGGGGGCGGATCCCGCCGCCGGGATATCGGGCATCGGTTTCGCTGCCATCAGTTGTTCCGCCGAGTAATCGGAGCTCGACTGGTTTCCGCGCGCGCGCGGGCGCCGCGCGAATGGGGCCGGGGGGCGTTTTCAGGGGCGCGCGTATTTACCGCGCTTGAAGTCAGCGCTTCAAGTTTTAAACCTCTCACTTCGTCATCGCGCCTGCCGATGTATGTGGCAGCTGTCGTCGAACTTTCGCGTCGCAGGCGGCGGCGGCCACGCGCTTCCCTAATGCGTTTTTGCGTGGGTATGAGCAGAAGGGGGCAGCCCGTGCGCGATTGCCTCTGGCGCGGCCTCGTTCGCTACAGTGGTTATGCTGTGGATGCGGAGGAGGCGCCCTGGATGGCCCCTGTAGCCGTCTTGTCGGAACCGCTCGCCTGGGGAGATTCGGCCGACGCCAGGGTCGCTTCCAGCTGGCAGATGCGCCCGGGGCGATGGCGGAGGGGCCGAAATTCGCCGCGCCGCCCTGGTTCAACTAGTCCTTCACCGCCGGCGCCAGCAAGGGCGACGGCGGGAGAGGCGGGGAGGGCGGGGGCCAGAAGCCCAAGGAGCACGGGGCCACGATGGGCGACGTCATGCCACCAGCGGTGATGCTCGCCCTGCGCAACTCGAAGGCCATCTCGGACTTCGGCGCGTTCCTGCGCGCGATGCGCGAGCTTCCCGTCGCCGTCGGAGCGGTGGCGGTAGGCCAGACAGCGGGCAAGAGTTGCAACGGCGACTCGGCGGCGCTCGGGACAGAGGAGACGGCGGGCAAGACGGCCGACCGCAAGGCCAGGGGCGCGGCGCGCGCATATATTCTCCTCGGCCACGGAGCAACGAGAGCGGCGGCAGCAGGTTCGCCGCAGCAAGAAGGGGTCGCGCGCACCGCCGATCTGCTTCAGTTTTTCAACGAGGCGTTGAGCAAATGCGAGGGCCCGAGCGACGTGGGGCAGCTGATCGGCCACTTCGGGGTGAAGGCACGCAAGAAGGAGGGAGGAGGGATCGACGCCGACGTGCGCGCTGATATGGCGCGTGGGCCCCCGCCGCAAGCGCGGCCCATTTCTGCCGCAGTGGTCGCCGAGTTTGCGGAGTTCGAGGGCGGGGGGGGGGGGCTGGCCTGGCCCCCGCGGTCGCCGCTGCCCTTTACAGCCTCACCCCGCAACCCCGTCTGCCCGTCCAACCACTCCCGAGACAAGTCTTTCCTCGAGAGGCTCCAGAGGCGGGTCAGCCAGCAGATCAGGGCCATCGCGCGCTGTCCCCCCGAACTGCCAGGGCCATGCTGTGAGGGTCGGAGATGCAAGGGGTGGCGGGCCCTCAACATGTACGTTTCGCAAGCGCATGCCCGCGGGCGCGCCTTCGGCGCGAGGCCCAACAATCGGGCGTTGAAGCTCAGCTGTGTCACTTCCTGGCGCGTTTCAGTCGCGATGGCGTGCGTTGGGTGCGAGTGCGCGCGCCTTGCGTGCATGTGATCCCGTGCATGGAACGTAAACCTCAACAGTTTGACCATCGGGCGTCATCGTCATCGTCGTGATCCACAATCAACGTATTCGTGTAAAGTTGCCCGCTCATGGGGCGAGTGCGCGCGCGTGCGCGCGTCTGTGTACCCTGCCAGGTAACGGGTGCGCATCCGAACGCGCCCCGCGTTGCCGAGGGCGCCCTCTCGGACATGAGTCCACGCGCTCACTCCACGACTGCGCCCGCGCCGGTGGGCGGGGGAGCTCAGTCGTTCGCGGCGCCAGAGCGACGACGATGGCGACGCCGACGACAACGACGCCGCCGACGACGACGACGACGTCGGCGACGGCGAAGGCGACGACGACGTCCAGGCCACCCGAGGTTCCCTTCGAGGTTTCCCTGGTCTGCTTTTTGAAAGGCATCGGAGGCCCATGGAGGCCACCGACGACGACGACGTCGACGGCGACGGCGACAGCGACGACGCCGTCCACAGGCCCACTGCAGTGCCCTCCCCCTGGAGGCCCCCCCGGCGTTTCTTTCGGCGTCCTCGATGCCCCCGGAGGTTTCCCCGGAGGCTCAAGAACCCGCCCGCTGATTCTCGCAGATCCGCACAGATTCCCATGGATTTTGTTGGGTTTCCAGCAAAGATTCGCGGCGGATCCTGGCGGATTCTTGCGGATTCCAGCGGATTCTCGTGGGTTCTGCTGCGTTTCTGACGAGGGTTCGCGGCAGATTCTTGCGGATTCTCGCGGGCTCGGCTCTGTCGCGGGCTGCGCGCTCGCGTGAGGGCCGCGAGGGCAGCGGGCGGAGATGACTGTGACCGCCCGCGCGTTTCTGCAGGCTATTGCGTCCGCCTGCGGGCGCCGGGCAGCGCCTTCTGTCGTTCCACCAGGCGCGCGCGATCGCTTGTGGCCGCCTGGCGGAGCCGGTCGGTGCCTCCGCGCATGCGAGCGCCGCTGCGCTCTTGTGAGCGCCTGCCCGGCAGTGCCTCTGAGCGCGCTCGCGCGCCTGAGAGCACCCGCGCGCTACCGCCTATGGGCGCTTGCGATCAAACGCCTGGGGGCGGGCTTCGGCCGTCGTTGCCGGGCACCCCGCGGCTGCAATGGCTTCCCGTGTGTCCTCCCATGGTCTCCAACGGCTTCCCGCCCCGCTGGCCTTGGGCGCCCGGGTTGGCCGTTGTTGCTGCCCCCCCCGCGGAAGAGTGCGTTCTCCAGTAGCCGCCTGTGGTTGCGCTTTTGCTGGCGCCTCGCCCGCCGCGGCTCTGCCCTCCTGGATTCGGATGGCTTCGCGCACATTGTTCGGATAATTTGTCGTTCCTGGCCACTGCTTCGACACGCCCCGCGCCAGAATCGAAAAGTGTGAACCCAGGTCAAGTACAAGCGTTCGGCGTGCAGCGCAAGTTGAGATCGCCGCGTTGACGCCAAATCGTCGCCGGCAACCCATCTGGTTTTGCCCGGGGGCCGGCCCTCCCCCGCAATTCCGACTTTCATAGGCCATGCCAGCTCACTTTCAGCCCAGTCGAACATATTCAAAAGCTCCTGCTCTCCTTGTGGGCCCAGCTCCTGGACGTCCCCAGGTCCGAGGTTATCTATCCCCATCTCCGTTTGGACACGAATCAGCCTTTGCCCCGCGTGGAGTTGATCCGAGGAAGGGTGGAACGTTTCAACCGAGAGGTGCCTACCACGAGAAACATCAGACTCGATTCTCTCCCAGGCCTAGGGGGCACCAGCTGACGCCATTTAGTGGAGCTAGCCAACCTGGTCCGATACTTGGGCCTCTTCGGTGCTGCGCCCCCTTCCACCTTTTACCTTTCAACCTGGTCCGAAAGCGCCTCCGAGATTCAAAGCTTCAGCTGGCCATATGAGGCCCTAGCTGCTGCTTGCTTGGGATGCTTGGCGGTCTGTCGAGCTGTCACCCCTAGGGTCTTCCTTTGCAAGAACTTCGAATTGGGGGTGCCACGAAGCCAAAGCCGCCAAAACGCAACCGACCCAGCCGCCAGGGCCAACGAAGGCCGCTGCGGCAACGACGCAGCACGATCCGCCAGTCGAGCTTGGGCTTCGAGACTTTGGGCCATCATAGGCCGCCCCCCCTGTCTGCTTTGAGTGCTGCGCCGTAGCCTACCGTGGCCAAGGCTGCCACCTCAGACCGCCAAAAAGCTACGGGGTCAATTAACCTAGCTGGGTGGTTTTCTTCAGCATCGACTGCGCCCCAGGGACCGGTGGTTTTCCGCTGCACGAGGAGGAGGAGGAACGGAGAAGGTGCAGGAGGTGGTTGAGTTCATACCCTTTTCCCTCCAGAGCGGTGCTGGCAGGTAACCACTCCACCGCGCGCGAGGGCGTTCTCCTCGGGGCGCTCGCCACCGCCCTGGGCATGTTGGCGGTGACTTTGGAGAGGAAGGAGGAATGTATCCTGCATGGGCTCCTCCTCCTCCTCCTCCTCCTCCTCCTCCTCCTCCTCCCTCCTCCTCTTCCTCCGCCTCCTTCCTCCCCAGCTGGTACAGACGGTAAACCACAGCGTTTGCTCGCTTTCTTATGTGCCTGCTTCTCCCGCCCTCCTTCCTCCTCCCCCTCTTCCTCGCTGACTTGGAGAGGAAGGAAGACACTGTGCGCCACCGCCGCGCCTCCACGGGCCCTCCCCAGTCAACGAGAAGGGTGCGCACTGCTCCAGCATATTGTTATTCAATCCCTTTTGCTTTTCCTGCAGTTCGGCTTCCAGGGATTCTGTTTCGAGGCCGAACTCGCGGGACCCCCGGCCCTTCAGAAAACGGTCCCGGATGATGAACCCAGCTCGGCCGCGGCCCCACTTAGGGCATTGCTTGGCATTGTTTGGCATTGCTTGGCATTACTGCTTGGCATTGCTTGGCATTTCTTGGCATTGCTTGGCATTGTTGAGCATTGCCTGGCATTGCTCCGAGGAATCCGAGGAACCCGAGGAACCCTTGAGGAACTCGAGGTCCCCCCGAGCAACGGGCAACGTAAGAATACCCGAGGAACCCGAGGGACATGAGGAACCCCCGACGATCGGACAAAGAAACATTGGCAGGCGCCAGCCCTTCCAAAACCAAGTAAGAACTCCTCAGACAAGCCTAATTTGGGGAAGAAGCGGTCCTGGGGAGGGAGTCCGGGAGGGCGACAAGAACAGGGGGTGGTCGATTGTGCCGACTTTGCTGGCGGCCCGTGAAGGGCACCAGGCAGGGTCGCGATGTCCTCTCGCACGAAGCTGTTTTTTTTCTCGTTTCTCCGGTGATGGTGGACGTGGGATCCCATGATGGCCGGGAGGCCGTGCCCGCCGAGACGGGGGTTCAGAATTGCTTGGTTCGCAGAGGCTGCTGGCAAGGGCCCGCACCCCCCCTAGGGTCCTGAGCTGTCCTGGGTGCCTTGCGTGGTGCCGCACATTCGGTTGCGACGCCGGTACGCAGCATCGGTGCGCCCATCCTTGATTCAGCAGGTGCTGGTGCACGAGGAGGAGGAGGAGGAGGAGGAGGAGGAGGAGGAGGAGGAGGAGGAGGAGGAGGAGGAGGAGGAGGAGGAGGAGGAGGAAGTTTGTGCCCGTCAAGACCTGAGTCCCGAAGCAGCCTGTGGAAAGGCCTTCAGGGTGGTGGGTGGGATCGGTTCGCTCTGTCCCGGCGCGGCGCAGGGCTGAATACCCCGGGGCGCCTCCTTGGGCATCCCCGACGGACAGTGGAGCCCGCTCAAGATTGATTGAGCGCTTCGCCCAGTGGCAGACGCCAGAGCCCGCGCCGCCATGGCTGGACCCCAGAGTCTCCCCCCCTCAGGTGATGGTGTCCCCCGGCTTCAACGGCGCCCACCTGCGATTCATCTCCACGCCACGGGCCTAGCCGCTGGCCATCCCGAGGCCGAGGGCCGCGGCCTTGCCCTGTGCCGCCGCTCCCTCCTTCAGTCTCCACCTCCTCCTCCTCCTCCTGCCTCCTGCCTCCTCCTTCATCCTCGTCCTCCTCATCCTCTTTGCCTCCTCCGACCTAACCCCCCCCTCTTCCCTCCGTACCCTCCCCTCCGCCGCCGGGCCGCCAGCCCGCTCCTGCTCCGATGAGGCCGCGCCATCCTGGCTGGCTGCTTGCCGAATCCGTGGATGGTGTTCCACCCCCCTCGCCCTCGCCCTTCGACCTCGTCCTTCCCCTCTTCTCAGTCCTCCTTGTCCTACATCTACTCCTCTTCCGCCTCTCCTCCTCATCCTTCTCGTCCTCCTCTCAGCCTCTCCGTCCTAATCTTCTGAGCCCGATTCAATATCACCCCTCTCCAGCTTGATTCAGCTTTCAGCTAGCACCGCCGTCGGGCCAGCTTCCCGAGTCCTAGTCCTACCCCTTAACAGTCCTATGACGTCGATACTGTGCGGTGACGTGGGCCTTGAGACACCTCCCCCCCATCCCTTGGACCGGTTCCCAATTCCAGGCCGTCTCTTTGCGGTCCCTGTGCCCAGCACGGGCCCCAAGGCGCAGAAAATAGCGAAAGTCATCTGGCGCGAGCTTCGAGTCCGCTCACTTCGGGACCCCCCGACGTCGCGGTTCGTTCCGCAAGCCCTGTGTCAGCTCCGGGTCCTACTTTCAGCGGCAACGTTAGGGGGGGTCAGCTCACGGGGGAATGCATCGACCCCTAATCGCCCATTCATCGCCGATAGGGGCCCGATTAGCCAACCCCGCCCAGGAACGTGCGGGTTCGGTATCGGGAGCCGATCGCCAATACATCGGCGGCAATGTAACGACGATTTTCGGTCGATGGTCCCCCCCCCCCTGAGCCAGCCCCGCCCTATTGTTGCTTGTTGGTCAGCTTGTAGCTGCCTTGCTCCTCTTTTTTTCGGGTCCTCCTCGAAAGGCCTTGCGAGACAGTTGCTGTCGATGTACGTCCGCGACTCGAATGTAGCGCCTCCCCACCGAAATCGGCAGCTGTTGCGTTGATGGTCTAGTCTCAGTCACAGCTTGCAGGGGAGCCACCCGTTGTTTTGAGCTACCCGTTTCTTTCGTTACCCCCCTCCCCTCAGGCAACACAATCTGAACGAACAGTTTTCCAGCTCGCAGTTTTGACATGCTAGTCGGCGCCCCGCATCAGCCCTGCTTGATCGGACCCTGTACTGGTACGACTTGTACTCCTCAGGGCATCCCCAGGGTATTCCTCGCGATTGCTCGCCCGGTCGCCGTGCGGGCGGGGCTCGCAGTGCTCGGCGCGCCTGCTCGCGGCGCCGGCCGAGGTTCCTGGTCGCGGGCGGCCTGGGCGGGCTCTTCGCCACGCGGGTGAGCATGGAGGACGGCGGCCAGGGAGGGAGGGGGGGGAGGGAGGGGGGAGCGGCGCTGCGGGCGGAGAGGCGCCCCCACAGCCCGCCTGCGACAGAAACGACGAGAAGGAAGGATAGGGAAGGGGGGGAGGGGAGGACTTTTTTGACTGCACTTAGCTCGTTGCAAGTAGCTTGAGCGGGGCGGCCGCAGGTCGGCTAGGCGGCAGACAGAGCCCGCCTAGCGGGCACTACAAAGGATCTCCGCTCCTGGTCCGTCCGCAAGCAAAAGCGATTCTTCGCCATTGGACCTGCATGTTGGGCGGGGGAGGTATTGGCACCGAAGGGGAGGGAGGGGGAATATATGAGGAAGAGAAGGGATCGGTGCCGTGCGAGAGTCACTAAGCGCGCCAGCTAGGCGTTGCCCTATGCGGGCAGCGCTGAAAGACCGAAGAGCAGCACAGCTGGCCTCAGGAACGGCCACCTGGGAGCATGGCTTAGCCATGGATATGAGCGGGATGAGTAGGAAGAGAGCCAAAATGGCAGTGCCGCGCTGTAGGGCGGCAGTGTCGGAGCGGACCAGGAGGGAGAGGCTGGCATTGCCGCCTAGAGACCTAGGAAGCCCCATCGGAAACGCACGTGACCGGTAAGGGGGGCAGGTAAGAGAATGCCTGTGCTGTACTTGGCTTCTTAGTGTTAGCGGGATTCGCCGACACGTGGTAAGAGGAGGAGGGAGGAACTCTAGGGGGGGTGAAGGAGTATCTTGCACAGCCAAGAAGCACTAAGGCGAGGTAGCTGTCCGCAGCAGGTGCGCACCTCTGACGGGCAGCATTAGCCGGGAGATACTCGGCAGGAGGGAGGGGGGGTTCCCCGGAGGATGCTCTGCCAAGGAGCTGCCGTGGGCGGAAAAGGCCATTTGCGCCGAAGACGGCCGCATGGAGACCAGCTATATGCCAAGACGGTGCAACGTATGACATAACATTGCATTGAAAAATGCGTTGCTAGCATTGTCTGGCCGGCCGTGCCGAGGAAGAGAGAGGAATCGAGTAAACTGTCATGGCATTGTCTGTAGGGCCACTCTGCGGAAGATGGCTGGTAGCGCCTGCGGCTTCGCCGAGACCTGCAAACTTGAGGCGGAGTGCCGCTGAGACAAGTGCGTGACAGGTGCATGCGCATTGCGCCGAGTCGGAAGCCACAGGGCTGCTGAAAGCTGTCTACGGTCGCTGTCCAAAAATCCTGACGCCGAATGTGGTGTGGTCCCTCGGCCTGGTGTGCGAATGATCCTGGACATGGAGCGTACTGCACGGCACGTAATACGTAATGCGCGAGGAAAGGACCAGGAGGAGGGAGTGCCAAGGGGCATGTTGAGGAGAGGGAGGAGCTGGGAGCAAGGTGGTTCCCCAAGAGGCCGCGCTGGGGTGAAACAAGCTGGGGCTGCTTGCTGGCTTATCTGCCGTCGAAAAGTGTGCTGCCTTATCTACCGTCGAAAAAAGCCAGTGCCAGAGAGTGCTGCATTATCGGCCGTCGAAAAGAGAGCTGCCTTACGTGCCGTCGAATTGAGTGCTGCGTCGCCTGCCTGAGTGCTGCCTTGCCTGCTCCGTTTTCCGTCTTCGGCGGAAAACTGACGGAGCTCGGGAGGTGGAGGAGATGGAGCGGAGCGGAGCTGCTGGGCTAGACGGTGGCCTCAAGGCGCGTCGCTAGACGCGGCATTGGCACTGGCACTGGCTGATAACGCTCTGGCCCTGGCCAAACACTCGTGAGTTTCCGCCTCTGTCCTGGCTAAAAACGCTCTGACGCTCTGCCGGATACTGGCGGATACTGGCACTGGCTGCTCAGGCACTGCATGGCAATGGGCTGCTGGCGCGGTCACTGAAGGAAAGACAGGTACAGGCACAGGGACTCCAGCGTCAGGCCGCGCTGCTGGCTCCGAAGCCGCCTCCACCGCATCTGGGGCAGATACTCCACGCAGGGGCCCCGCGGGAGCCACGACACCAGGATGCGCGGCGGCGCCAGGCACACGGCCCACCGGAGAATCACCACCTCCGGGGAGACCAGCGACGGCCGGGGCAGTAGCATTAACTCCAAGAAGGCGAGCCTCTGCATGGCCGTCGACACCGGCAGCATGAACTGAGCCAGCGCGGGCATCGGCATGGCCGTCGACACCAGCAGCATGTACTGCACCAGCACCCGGAAGGCGAGCATCGGCATGGCCGTCGACACGAGCAGCATGAACTCCAGAAAGGCGAGCATCGGCATGGCCGTCGACACCAGCAGCCTGAACTGAACCAGCGCGGGCATCGGCATGGCCGACGACACCAGCAGCATGTACTGCACCAGCACCAGGAAGACGGACATCGGCATGGCCATCGACACGAGCAGCATGAAATCCAGCCTGCGCCGGACGGCTGCGGGCCCGTGACTGGCTAGCCGCGGGGCGAGCGCTGAGCCAGAAGCAGACCTCCGTGCGGCCGTCGGAGAAGCGGTGGCCGCGGTCCACCACGACAGCGTTACCAGCCTGCTCCTCGAGGGCCGTCAGGGCGCTGAGAAGCACGGCCCGCGCCGTGGGCGACGTGCGCGGCCGCGCGGGATCGAGGACCACCTTGACCTTCCCGCGGCCCTCGATGGCGGCGGCGCCGAAGGTGAGGTGCGCGGCGACTCCAGCGACGACCTGATCGCGCAGCCAGCGAAGGCGCGCGTGGACCACCATGGCCCGAGAGAGCGCAGGGGCGCTGAGAAAGTAACGGAACAAGCAAGAGCTTGAGCGAAATGGTTACTGGGAGGGGAGGGGGGGAAGCGGGTGGGGATCGGACGGAGTCGGGGCGGCGGGGGAGGGATGGATGGATGGGAGGGACATGGAGAGGAGGAAGGGCGCGAGGGAGGGAGAGAGAGAGAGAGAGAGAGAGAGAGAGACAAAAAAAGGAAAGAGAGAGAGAGAGAGAGAGAGATAGAAGATGTGATTAGGGAGGGGGCGAGGGAGTGAGGCAGGGAGGCAGGGAGGGATGGGAGGCGGGGGGGGTGGTTGGGATGCTGGGAGAGCGAGGGGGCGAGGAAGGGAGGGGAGGGAGGGGGGGAGGGAGCGAGTGGGTCGGGAGGGTGGGAGCGATTGACGGAGGGGGGGAAAGAGGGAGGGAGGGAAGGGAGTGGGGAATGCAGGGAGGGAGGGAGGGAGGGAGGGAGGGGCGGGAGGCACGGGCTGCGGTATGGAGAGAGGGCTGGAGGGACGGAGGGAGGGAGTGGATGGGGAGAAAAGGGGGTAACAGCGCGGAGGGATGTGACCACCAGGAAACCAGCGCGGGTGCTCCAAGTTCGAGGGCCCCCTGGGGAGCCCCCCCGTCCTCGTCCCCGCCATCGTCCTCGCCCTCGCCCTTCGCCCTCGTCCTCCTCGTTGGTCCGTCCTCGACGATGGGCAACCTCGCTTTCTCAACCTCTGCTCCCCACCGAGTGCTGCAGGGTTTGGCAGGCCCCGCTGGAGCTACAAGCGAGCCCTCGGGACGAGGGGGCCCGGGGCGCTCTGAGCGCCCTTCGCCCTCGCCCGCCTCGTCTTTAGGGGGGCCACATGCGAACCCTACCCCCACCACCTACGATTTCTATGAGGGAGGGTGGGGTTCACTTCGTGCGGGAGCTCCCGAGCGAAGTGAACCCCCCCCCCCCCAAGAACTCGTGGGGGGTAGGGGCAGGGTTCGCACGTGGCCCGCCTCGCCTTCCCGCCCTCGGCGTCGTCCCCGGCCTCTCTGGGGTCGTCCGCGGGGTCTCCGGGCCCGGCGGCCCGGGCCCAGGAGCTCTTCCCCCTCTCTGGGCAGGGTGGGGCGGCGCGAGGGCTCGGAGGCGACCGCGCTCCGCACGTCGCGCGGTGCGAATGCTTCTGGAGTCCCAAGGATTCCACCGGCTCCCTGGGATTCCGGAGGATTCCCATGCACTGCCAATGGGTTCCTCGGGATTCCTGGGGATTCGGAGTCCTGCGGATTCCAGGAGGTCCCTGCGTATTCTTAGGCATTCCGGGGGGATCTTAGGAAGTCCTGTTGGATTCCCCCCGAAGATCCCAGAAGGTTCCTGCCCCCTCTCCTCGCCAGCTTCGCCCGCCACCCCGCCACCCCGCCGCTCTCGGGAGCCCCGCTCCGTGGTCGGCGCGGGGCCCTTTGCGCCCCGCGCGGCACGAGGCGAGGAGCACCGAGCTGGTGGGGCGCCCAGCCCTCGCCCTCGTCGGCCCCCTCGGGGCGCTCGCCCCATCGGTCCTCGGGTGGCCTCGGTCTCCGGCCTCGCCCCAGGAGAGGAAGGGGAGGCTTAGCTTGGTCCCTTCCTCCTCCCCCTCCTCCTCCTCCTCCTCCTCCTCCTCCTCCTCCTCCTCCTCCTCCTCCTCCTCCTCCCCCGCTTCAAATCCGCTCCTTCTCATCCTGCCCCTCCTTCTTCCCCCTCCGCCTCCTCCCCCCCCCTCCCTCTTTGACTCTTTCTTCTGCACCTCGTCCTCCCTGTCCTCCTGCCCCCTCGGTTCTCGGGTCTGCCCTTCGCCGCCCCCCGCCCTGATCGCGCCGTGGCGCTGGTCTCTGGCACTCGCCAGGGGGTGCAGCGTGGTCCCCTGGGGGCCAGGGCCGGTTCCCTGGGGCGGGGAGCGGGGGCCTGCTTCCCCTTCCTTTAGAATAACACCCTGTCGCACCCCGAGACGCGTCGGTAGGGCGAGCCGGGCGTTTCGCCTGAGACTTCCCCTACACTTATGATCCTGAAGCTTGGTTTTGGCAGTAGTTTTGCGGATGGAGGGCGAGTCGTTCTCAAAATGTGGCTCTCGCCTCAGCGCCGCGCACATGTGTTTTAAAAGTCTGCAAGAGTTTCACGCATGGACGGCTGTGCCTTTCAAACTGGCTCTCGCCGTAGCGCCGCTCACATATGTCTTACAAGTTTGCAAGAGTTTCACGCGTGGACGGCGTTACCTTTTGAACATGTGGCTCTGGCCTCAGCGGCGCGCGCATTTGTTTTAAAAGTTTGCAGGCGCTTCACGGATGGAGGACGGTTCCTTTTCAAAATGTGGTTTTCGCCTAAGCGCCGCGCACAATCGTTCTAACATGTTGCATGCTTTTCACGGATGGAGGGTGGCTCTTGATTTGAATGCGTCTCGCGCTTCAGAGCCGCGCAGATTCGTCTTAGCGAGTTGCAGGAGCTACAACGATGGAGGGCGTCTTACAAGCTTGCAAGAGGTTCGCGGATGGAGGGTGGCTCCTGAGTTAAATTGGGCTATCGCTTCTGCGCCGCGCACATTCGTCTCCACGATTTGCAATAATTATGAGGATGGAGATTGGTTCCTTTTGAACATGTGATGATCACCGTTGCGCCGCTTACATCCGTTAATCAGTACATAGATATACAACGGTTTCAAGGCTACTTCTGACCAGCCGACGTCCCAGGAGCGGTGTTCTGGCACGATTTAGGATTGCCAGGGCGCAACAGTCACGTTGATTCGCGGTGTTGAAGTCCTAGACATGGTGTTCTGGCGCGGTTGTCTTACAAGGATTCTCAGACGGTTGTCTTTCAACGGGGCACTTCCCGCAGTGACAGTAAATTCTTGTAGGGCCTGTGCAGAGGGATCTTGTACGGAGAGTTTACTGCAACATCGTTGATGCGTCTTGGGTTTACAGTGGTCCTCCTCCTCCTCCTCCTCCTCTCGTCTTTCCCAGGTCTTTCTCTGGTCTACTGGGTAGAGGGGCGCACGGGTCACAAGGCGTGCTCCACGCGACGAAGTCCTCTAGAGAGCGACAGCAGTCGGATTCGGAAAGCCCGTGGAAAGATCTGAGCCCCCATCGTCTTCCCAGTCCTTCCTTCTCCACGTTGCCGGTGACCCAGTCCCAGGATATGCCGCAGCTCGTCGCAGGCTTCCACTCCTTCGTGGGCCTGGCCGCCGTCTTCGCGGGCTTCGCAAGCTACCTGGCTCCAGATCCCTTCCACATGATGAAGGCCCTTGAGATATGCTTGGGGTCCGCGATCGGCATGCTGACGTTCACGGGCAGCGTTGTGGCCGCGGGTTGTCGGGGGACGTCACCTATAAATCGACACCGGTTCCGGTTTGGCCAATCCCAGGCTCAGGATCTGTTTCCCCGTAGGTTTGGCGGTCTGAGAAAGCAGAAAGTCTTTGTGTGTCTGTTTGTAGCTGTTGTTGTTCCCCATATCCTAAGATGGGGTTGTTGTTATTACTTGGACGCCTCCTACTCCTTCTTCTTCTCCTCCTCCTCCTTCTCCTCCCCTCTCCTCTTCATAACCAGACTTACTCATACACAGACTGACTCACACTCAGACTTACTCATACCCAGACTTACTCACACACATAATTACTCTTACTCAGACCTGCTCATATACTCCTACTCAGACTTATTCATTGTGAGACTCACGCACGCCCCGTTCGCGGCCGTTTTGTGGGGATGCCTCAAGCGGTTTGCTTGTTTTCTGCCCCAATATCCTAAAATGGGGTTCTTGTTATTACTTGGACGCCTCCTACTCCTTCTCCCTCTTCCCCTCCCCTCTCCTCCTCATACCCAGACTTACTCATACACAGACTGACTCACACTCAGACTTACTCAGACACAGACTTACTCACACACAAAATTATTCAGACTCAGACATACTCATACTCAGACCTACTCCTACTCAGACTTACTCATGGTGAGACTCACGCACGCCCCTTTTGTGGCCGTTTTGTGGGGATGCCTCAAGCGGTTTGCCTGTTTTCTGTTCCAATATCCTTCGCTTTCGGAGCAGATTTGGAGGATGTTTCGAGCGAGGCGCTCATTTCCCCCCTCTAAGGGGAGCCTTCGAGGGGTATTTCACGGTTTCGTTCGCGGCCGTTTTGTGGGGATGTCTCAAGCGGTTTGCTTGTTTTCTGTCCCAGCATCTTTCGGAGGATGTCTCGAGCGAGGCGCTCATTTTCACGTCCCTAACGGAGCCGCCGAGGGGTATTTCACGGTCCCGTTCGCGGCCGTTTTGTGGGGATGTCTCAAGCGTATTGCTTGTTCCCCATATCCTAAGTATGGGGTTCTTGTTATTCCCCATATCCAAAGAGATGGGGTTCTTGTTATTGGCGGACCGCGCCGGAGGAACAGAGGGAGAACAGACCACCACCTCACCTACTCTCACTCAGACCCACTCAGACTCAGTCATCACTCAGACTCCCTCATCACTCAGACTCAGTCAGTCACTCAGACTCACTCATCGCCCAGACCCACTCATCACTCAGACTCACTCATCACTCAGACTCACTCATCACTCGGACTCAGTCATGACTCAGACTCATCACTCATCACTCAGACTCACTCATCACTCAGACTCACTCATCACTCAGACTCACTCATCACTCAGACTCACTCGTACTTGTACTCATACATTCACTACACTCACTCAGGTCCACTCATCGCATGACTCACTCACACTGATGTTGAGGATGTCTCAGGCGATTCTGTGGCTTCAGCACTCCCAAGGGGAGCGGTGGGGGGGTATTTCCCTCGGCCCCTTTCGCGGGATTTTGTGGGGATGTCTCAGGCGGTTTGGCCATTTTCTCTTCCAACATGTTTCGCTTTCGGAGCATATTTGGAGGATGTCTCAGGCGATTCGCTGGTTTCAGCACTCTAAGGGGAGCGGCGGGGGGGTATTTCACTCGGCCCCTTTCGCGGGATTTTGTGGGGATGTCTCAGGCGGTTTGGCCATTCTCTCTTCCAACATGTTTCGCTTTCGGAGCAGATTTGGAGGATGTCTCAGGCGATTCGCTGGTTTCAGCACTCTAAGGGGAGCGGCGGGGGGGTATTTCACTCGGCCCCTTTCGCGGGATTTTGTGGGGATGTCTCAGGCGGTTTGGCCATTCTCTCTTCCAACATGTTTCGCTTTCGGAGCAGATTTGGAGGACGTTCGCGCCCAGTTTGCGGGGATGTCTCAGGCGGTTTGGCCGTTATGATGCTGGGCATCTGTCGTTTTCGGAGCAGTTTTGGGAGGATGTCTCAGGCGATTTGCTGGTTTCAGCACTCCCAAGGAGGAGGAGGAGGAGGAGGAGGAGGAGGAGGAGGAGGAGGAGGAGGAGGAGGAGAGAAGGAGGAAGCGAGGAGGAGGAGGAAGAGGACGAGGAGGAGGAGGAGGAGAAGGAGGACAGCATGAACACGGTAGGAGCAGAAGCAGGAAGGGGATGATGATGATGATGATGATGATGATGATGATGATGATGATGATGATGATGATGATGATGATGATGATGATGATGATGATGATGATGATGATGATGATGATGATGATGCTGATGATGATGATGATGATGATGCTGCTGCTGCTGATGATGATGATGCTGATGATGATGATGATGATGATGATGTGATGATGATGATGATGATGATGATGATGATGATGATGATGATGATGATGATGATGATGATGATGATGATGATGATGATGATGATGATGATGATGATGATGATGATGATGATGATGATGATGATGATGATGATGATGATGGAGGAGGAGGAGGAGGAGGAGGAGGAGGAGGACGTGGGCAACTCGAGTAGCGAGGGCCAGACGATCGAGGCTCGATGTTCCAAAGCTGTAGGTTTTACTCAAACGCTTCCGCCTCACTCTCCTTCGCTCTCCGCTCTCCTTCACTCTTCTGCATTCATATTCACTCATACGCAGACTCAGTCACACGCAGGCCCACTCGCACTTAGACCCGCTCATATCCATACTTAAACTTACTCACATTCAGACTCACGCTCAGAACCACTCATACTCAGACTCGCTCCTGCTCAGACTCATCATCCTTCGGTCCGCTCAAACGCAGACCGACTCACACTCAGATTGCCGCACATCCATACCCAATCACACTCGGCTCAATCGCACTCAGATTCAGTAACACACACTTTTTTCTCACACTCAGACCCACTCAAGCCCAGACTGGCTCACACCCAGATTCGTCCATACTCAGACCCACTCGCACACAGACGCACTCGCGCTCATATTTGCTCACACGCATACCCACTCAAACCCAGGCTCAATCGCACCCAGATTAACTCACACTCAGAACCAGTCGCTCTCAGATTTGCTATTGGTCGCAGCCATGATTGCAGACGGTGGGAATGTCTCGAGCGAGCGGTTCGCCCTCGCACACAGGCGCTCATTGACAAATGTCAAGAGAAATACGTACCACGATAATGAGATGCACATATGGGGAGCCCCGCGTCGAGTAATTGGCGGACCGCGCCAGAGGAGAGAGAACACATCACTCCTCTCACTCAAACCCATTCACTCATCACTCAGACTCACTCACCATTCAGACCCACTCATCACTCATATTCAATCATCACTCAAACGCATTCATCAGTCGGACTCAGTCATGGCTCAGACTCACCACTCATCACTCAGACCCACTCGTCACTCAGACTCACTCACCACTCAGACTCACTCATCACTCAGACTCACTCGTACTTGTACCCATACATTCACTACACTCACTCACGCCCACTCAACGGATGACTCACACACACACACACTGATGTTGAGGATGTATCAGGCGATTCTGTGGCTTCAACACTCCTACGGGGAGCGGCGGGGGGTATTTCACTTGGCCCCTTTCGCGGGATTTTGTGGGGATGTCTCATGCGGTTTGGCCATTTTCTCTTCCAACATGTTTCGCTTTCGGAGCAGAGTTGGAGGATGTCTCAGGCGATTCGCTGGTTTCAGCACTCCTAAGGGGAGCGGCGGGGGGTATTTCACTCGGCCCCTTTCGCGGGATTTTGTGGGGATGTCTAAGGCGGTTTGGTCATTTTCTCTTCCAACTTGTTTCGCTTTCGGAGCAGATTTGGAGGATGTCTCAGGCGATTCGCTGGTTTCAGCACTCTAAGGGGAGCGGCCGGGGGGGTATTTCACTCGGCCCCTTTCGCGGGATTTTGTGGGGATGTCTCAGGCGGTTTGGCCATTTTCTCTTCCAACATGTTTCGCTTTCGGAGCAGAATTGGAGGATGTCTCAGGCGATTCGCCGGTTTCAGCACTCTAAGGGGAGCGGCGGGGGGGTATTTCACTCGGCCCCTTTCGCGGGATTTTGTGGGGATGTCTCAGGCGGTTTGGCCATTTTCTCTTCCAACATGTTTCGCTTTCGGAGCAGATTTGGAGGACGTTCGCGCCCAGTTTGCGGGGATGTCTCAGGCGGTTTGGCCGTTATGATGGTGGGCATCTGTCGTTTTCGGAACAGTTTTGGGAGGATGTCTCAGGCGATTTGCTGGTTTCAGCACCCCCAAGGAGGAGGAGGAGGAGGAGGAGGAGGAGGAGGAGGAGGAGGAGGAGGAGGAAGAGGAGGAGGAAAAGAGGAGGAGGAGGAGAGGAGGAGGAGGAGGAGGAGGAGGAGGAGGAGGACAGCATGAACACGGTAGGAGCAGAAGCAGGAGGGGAGATGATGAGATGATGATGATGATGGTGATGAGGATGATGATGATGATGATGATGATGATGATGATGATGATGAATGATGATGATGATGATGATGATGATGATGATGATGATGATGATGATGATGATGATGATGATGATGATGATGATGATGATGATGATGATGATGATGATGATGATGATGATGATGATGATGATGATGATGATGATGATGATGATGATGATGATGATGATGATGATGATGATGATGATGATGATGATGATGATGATGATGATGATGATGATGATGATGATGATGATGATGATGATGATGATGATGATGATGATGATGATGATGATGATGATGATGATGATGATGATGGATGAGGAGGAGGAGAGGAGGAGGAGGAGGACGTGGGCAACTCGAGTAGCCAGGGCCAGACGATCGAGGTTCGATGTTCCAAAGCTTTAGGTTTTACTCAAACGCTTCCGCCTCACTCTCCTTCGCGCAGGCTCACTCGCACTTAGACTCGCTCATATCCATACTTAAACTTACTCTCACTCAGACTCACGCTCAGAACCACTCATACTCGACTCGCTCCTGCTCAGACTCATCATCTTTCGGTCCGCTCAAAC